ACGACTCGACGGCACTTAACAACAACAACAACAACAAATATTCCATATAAGTAGAATCACACAATATTTGTCCTTTTATGTCTGGCTTATTTCACTCAGCATGTTGTTTCCAAGGTTCATTCATATCACGGCATGTATCAGTACTTCATTTTCTTTATGGCTGAGTAATATTCCATTGTGGAATCATGTTTTAATGAAGAAAATGAGAATGATTGTCATAAAATAACTATGCTACATAGACAACCACCCCAGTAAGAATTGAGCAAAGGGATACGTTAATGCAGGCTGGAGCTGAGAACAAAATCATGACAGAGGATAAGGAGCAGAGCAGACCACAAAGGAGGGATGCTGGAGTGCACCTACGGCTGGCCATCAGGGTCTGGAATATCAGACAGAAAGCTCCATAAGGAAGGCAAGAGGGTGACGACCTCCAAGTGTGACAGTGGCAAAGCATGGAGATCAAATAGACATCACATACAGAACAAGGAGCCCCGGTGGTACAATGGCTAAGCATTCAGCTGCTAACCAAAAGGTTGGTGGTTCAAACCCACCCAGTGACTCCATAGGAGAACCACCTGGTGACCTGCACCCACAAAGATTATAGCCTAGAAAACCCAATGAAGCAGTTCTACTCTATCCTGTGGGGTCACTATGAGTAAAAAACTGACTCAACAGCATTTAACAACAACAACACATGAAAAAACAGACTGGAAAGGTGACCAAGCAACTGGGATCCCAGCACAATTTGAGTATATGGATTCCAGAATCAGATTTCTGAGGTTCAATCTCAGCTCCAGGCAAGGCCATTAACCTCTGTGCATGATTCCACCCTGTGAAGTGGGGACGATAAGAGTAAATTCCTTGCAGGATTGTTATAAATTGGGGTGGAGAGATAAACTGAGTTTTTAGAGCATTTAGAACAGGAACTGACCCACAGTACATACTAAATAAAGACAACTTTCTAGAATGAGTCTTGGGAATACTGACTGTTTTCCTAATCTAATCCTAAAATAGCAAGCAGCTCTTCAGAAGCCACCATCTTGATGACAGGTAAAAGTTGGAATCATTGCATTATCCTGCCCTCTACTCTAAATCAACTTACTCCTTTTTTTTAAAGAAATATTTTGATACACAGCTCTATCTTCATGGTGGTAAAAGCATTCTCAAAAATCAACTGTCAGTTCTGTTCTAGAATAAGCCAGGAGTGGGTTATCTCTGGTTAGATTAACAGTGCCTGGGCCAAACTTTAATTCTAAAAGTTGCTTTTCTGGATACAAGCATTCCCCAGCAGGTTTGTTTCACATGAGTCTTTGGCGTGCTTTTGAATAAATCTTCCTAGAAAAATCATTAAAAGCAGCAGAAAAACATCCTTATGAGAACCAGGCAGGAAAGACCATACTCACCACGGGTTCTGAAGAAGAAGGGGTGGTAATTGCTTTCATTTTTAATGGAAGGAAAGGGGACAATCTTTACAAAGTAATCCGTTTCAAATTTCATATTCAGGAAAGGCTGAGATTCCATTCCCTAAAAGGGAACAAAAACACGTGTGACATCATGGAGAAAATGCCCACCCCTACATAGGAGACCTCCATACCCACCCCCTGGAGTCCCTCAGACACAATATCAGAGCTGAGGGACAAGCCTGGCAGAGGGAAGATGTGAGGTCTACTGTCTGACCAGCTGGATGTTGAGATCCCTAACTTAAAATGAAAATGAAGATCAACAATGCTATCTGTTCTTTGGCAAGGTGGCCATGCCCTGTTAATATCAAAGCTCAGCGCTGGAGGGGAGGGAACCCACTCCTCAGAGCACAAAGACACCTTCCAGGAGGGCTGTGTAACCGGAGAAGTGTGTTTACCACAGAGAAGTGCTGAAGAGTTTCCTTGGGAGTGGAGAGCAGGCACACAGCATTACCCGCCATTCTTGCCCACCTTGGCAGGCGGTGTGCACCCCACAGCCCCTCCTTCTCCAATTTCACACACTCTCAATAGACCATTCAAACTCCCAGAACAATGGCGTGTCTTCAGGAGCGCATTCCCTATGTGTGACTTACGGTTCTTTTGAAGCTGCTGTTGAGCTGCTTCGGGTCCTTTAGAATCAGTTGTTGGCACTGTCTTCCCTCTGACTTCAGCTCCTCCAGTATCACCCGGAATCCTTTTAGGAATTCAATGCCTAAGCAAAGCAAAATGCTTTTATTAAAAATGCACCTTTCCTTCCTCCAAGACTAGTCAGTCTTCTCCACCTACACAGGAAAGTTGAAGGCATTCTTACTCTGGCCGGAATATGAGTTTATATAAAGGAAAAATGCATACTCTACATTCCTTTGGGACCCGCCAGGTGATTTTCTCTTCCACCATCACTAATTAATCTCCCATCCAGCTGGCCCTTTCACAAACGTCTGCCACCTCTGCAGCATTAGGGTTCAAATACTCAGACTCGAGTCACAACCAATCATAAAAGTCTGTGGTGGAATATATAATTTCTAGGCCATTAAACAGGGTGCATTCAGCTGATAATTCCCAATACTGACCAAAGAATCCCCTAAACCACATTTCCACTTTAAGTTTCATCCCCACATCTGTTGACATGTTTCACTGAGCAACATTCAAATTTCCCATCCAAGTATATGTCTGCACCCATGGGGTTCCGAGGTTTGAGATTAGTTTAGGAGAATGCCTATGTGATATACAAAGCGGTTCTTGCTCTAATCACCTGAAAGGCAGACACCCAAGAACTGCCCAGTATGCACTCTTCATACAGACCTTAGGGAGCCTGACACCCACAGGGCTGGTGAAAGGCAAAGGCCCAGCCCCCTGCCACCTGAGCTTGCTGGCTGCACGTCTGACTAGATGCTTTCAAAAGGATTAAGCTCTGATGGCCACAAGAGCCAGCACCACCGGGCTCTGTATCCCATGGAGACTGGAGTAGTCCAACTGCAGCTGGAGAGCCCCAAAGCCAGCCTCAATTGGCGCCATATCGATTTCACATTCTTTCTGAATACTAGACAGGGAGTGATTTTCAACCCTTCCCCTGTTCCAGAGCAAAACTAATTACACAGGATGCAATTAACCAGGTGGGAAAAGTATTGATGGCAAAGGCCGGAGAACTCTCATTCCAATTGGTTCTCCAATCCTGTAATTATTTGATGACATGTATTTTATGGGGGCAGGGCAGAGGAATAATAGCTAGAGCTTCACATTTTATTTAATTAATTATGATTGGGGGAAAGCTTACAGAGCAAATTCATTTTCCATACAGTTCATACACATTTTGTTTCATGACATCGACTGCAATTCCCCACAATGTAACAGCTCTCTTCCCACTTCCTCCCTATAGTTACCTCTTCCCTGTGTCCTTCCCTCCCATGCACTCCCACCCCTCACCCCCACTCCGAGCTATCTCCCTGTGCAAACACTGCCCTTTTGAGCTCCCAGAAGAACTAGGTGGTGCCCAGTTACCATTGTTAACCACTCGGAAGAGGATCGGTACAGGAAATCCTGGGTAGAGTGGCAACTAGGGGCCATAGTCTCAAGGGTCTCACCAGGATCTCCTACGCTGATTCCTTTCTCAGTGGGTTGACAGTGGTAGCCAGGCACTATCTAGTTCTGGTCTCATGGTCATAAAGACTGAGGCTTGCATGGTCCACTAGTCCCTTGGACTAACTGTTTCCATACATCTTTGGTTTTCTTTTCTTCTTTGCTCTGGATGAGGAGAGACTCATTGTTGCATCTAGATGGGTGCCTGCACAGAGCATCACATCTTAGGGGATCAGAGCACTACAACAGTATGCAGGGACCAACTTCCATCATGTGTTCCCATGACAAAACTCCCTATGGGGGTGGCAGCCAGCAGACCCATAGCCAGATTTGGCCATGCTGACAAAATACATGGCATTTTGACCAGAAGCTATTTACTAGCTCTCATAGCACTTGCCTCTTAAAATTAAAAGATTTCCGAACAAGATTTTATTATCTATACTAAGATTTAATTTATGCAAAGTCCCCAGAACTACTGATTAACAAAAGTGAGGTAATTAATATGATAAAAGACCATTTTTTAAAAATCCACTATCATCAAGTCAGTTCTGACTCAGTGACCCCATAGGAGACAATAGAATTGCCCCCATAGGATTTCCAAGGCTGTAATCTTTACAGGAGCAGATTGCCACATTTCTCTTCCATGGAGCAGCCAGTGGTTTGCACCACTGACCTTTCTGGTTGGCAGCCAAGTGTTTAACCACTGTACCACCAGGGCTCCTTATAAAAAACGATATATCTCACAAATTTATCATCTGGGGTGGCAGTGGGTGATTTTAGTCCTTATTATTATTTTTTTTATAACTTTTTGTTGTGATTTAGGTTAAAGTTTACAAAACAAATTGATTTTCCATTCAACTAGTCCTTGTTCTTAAAAGACCAGCCTGAAAAATCTCTACACCAAGTCTGGTGATCAGGGTCAAAGCAGCCAATGTAATTCCTGTATCACAGTGACACATTTATCATAACAATACTAATGTCTCATATAAAGACTAACAATTGTATAGAACAGCTTCCCATGAAGGAACTTGTTTGCTCCTTCCCATCAAGTCATTCAACCCTCTTAACAACCATAGAAGGTATTATCATCTCCATTTTACAGAGGAGGAAACTAAGTGTGAAAGAGTACTCTAAAACTGAGGTGCTTGACATACTGAAATGGTTAACACAGGTCTGAATGGGACTCCATTTTGTCCTAGGTCCCAGCTTCTGCTTTTAGAGTATGTGACCCATGACCACACTCTTGAACAAGATAACTTGTTCTGCAACATTCTGAGGTGGCCCATCCAGAACGTTTCAGGAAACAGAAGGAACCAGCTCTGGAATGTAGAAAGTTGTGGCTAAGGTTGAATGCCTCAGCCAATAGCAATTGCTGATGAAAGTCTTATGAAAGCATGTGGAATGTCAACAATCAAATGTACCCCTATACTCTTCCCAATTCTGCACAAAGTTCTGCAAAACTGACCATAAAATGTATGTACCTATGCTCCCTCCCTATAACACTATTTTGAACTTTCATTCTGGCATCTCCTGATTTGCAAATCTTTAAATCTGGGTAAAACTCTTTTATTTTACAGAAACTCTGTCTCATTTTTAACATGAAGTTTAAAACCAAAAAACCAAATTCACTGCCATCAAGTCGATTCCAACTCAGCGACCCCCACTGGGTTTCCAAGGCCATAAATCTTCACAGAATCAGACTGCCTCCATCTGCCTTCTGTGGAGCAGCTGGCAGGTTTGAACCAACAACCTTTTGGTTAGCAGCCAAGTGCCTTGACCATCAGAGCTCCTTTAACTTGAGGTTTCCAAAAAAAAACAAAAACAAAACTCACAGCTATTGAGTTGAATCTGACTCATAGCAACCTCTCCTTGGGTTTCCGAGGCGGTATATCTACTAAAGTAGATTGCTCAGTCTTCCTTCCAAGGAGTGGCTGGTGGGTTTGAACCACCAGCCTCCTGGTTAGCAGTCAAATGCCTTAGGCACCACACCACCAGAGCTCCTAACATGAGGTTTAGGTAAGCTAAATGATTTGCCTCAGGTCACAGAGGAATTAAATGGCAGTGGTAGGATCCGAACCCAGGAGTGTCTGGCTCAAAGCCAGCACTGTTAACCCACATGCTACTCTGTTTTCCAGAGAAACTGATAGAGCTTGTCCAGCCACTCCCACCCACAGATTTTCTTCCAGAAAAAGCACAACCTTCTGCCTTCGCTGTTCCACATGTCCTACCACTAGTTCACACCTCTTACTTTCATTCTAGGAAGGTGTTATGGATTGAATGGTGTCCCACCACCACCATCAAATACAAGGAGTCCTCAGGTTACAAAGGAGATCTGTTCCTGTGTCTTCAAGAATTTGTAGGTCAGTCAGAATAGGTGTATACTGCTCTTATTTAGTCTTACTGTAGTGCAAGAAAAGGCTCAAAGCCTTTTGAATGATTTACAAAAGCTGCATGTTTATGAAGTGAAGGTAATTATGAAGAATTTTTTGCAAGTAGCAGTTGGTTCGATCATTTCAAAGTGATGGCAAATTTATGTAACACTGTTCTTTTATGTTATTAAGTGCTTCTCTGTTTAAAGATGGTGGCACCTCACTCGAACATGATGGCTGACTGCAAGGCTTTGAATGTGGGTGGCTCTTCCCAGTCCTGCCAATAATCCAATGTCACACATGAGGCTCCTGAAAGGGTTCAATATGCCTCTTCCGAGTGTCCCATTCCAGGGCTTTGACCAGTAATTTTTCCTATTCCGATTACTAAGACGAATCACCCAAATGTAAAAATTCAAGTCTATTCCTGTGTTGCTTTGTTGGCCACAATAGAACTAGTTGGAAGCCCTGCATTAAACGATAAGTAGGAGCTGTTGGTACATTGGACACTGGTACCCCGGGAACTGTCTGTGTTGGAATCCTAAACCCACTATCTGTGGATGTAATCCTGGTTGAGAATAGGGTCTTCTTTGTTTATGAGGTCATATCAATGTAAAGTATATCCTAAACCTAATCACTTTTGAGTGATATAGAGAGCAGCTAGACACAGAGATAGGTAAGCTGACACAAGGGGAGAATAGCTGCTATCTAAGTACAGCAGGGGCAGATGAATCTACAAGCCCAGGAACTCTAAGGACTGCCAGCAGCTACTAGAAGCTGAATTAGACAAAGCACCTCCCCCTAGAGCCTCACTCTGAAATTGGCTGCTAAGCAAATGGTTGGTGGTTGAACTTGCCCAATGTCTCCAAGGGAGAAAGACTTGGCAATCTGCTCCCATAAAGATTACAGCCTAGGAAACCCTATGGGACAATTCACATGGGGTCGCTATGAGTTGAAATTGACTGGACAAAGCCTCCTAAACTGACAGAATAATTTTCTGCTTTTTAAAGCCACTCGCTTGTATTTCTGTTATAGTTGTTGTTGTTATGTGCCGTCGAGTCGGCCCCGACTCATAGCGACCCCTCCTTGGGTTTCCGAGGCAGTATCACTACGGAAGTAGGATTGCCCAACCTTCCTTCCGAGGAGTGGCTGGTGGGTTTGAACCGCCAGCCTTCTGGTTAGCAGTCAAGTGCTTTTAGCCACTATGCTACCAGAGCTCCTTAGTAGCACTAGGAAATTTAAGATATGAAGGAATCTGCAATTCGTCAGGCCAACCTCTTTAAACATTTAGCTTTACGTTAATGACCACTTCTCTTTTGTCCACAAAAAAACCAAAACCAAACTCACGCCGTCAAGTCAGGTCTGACTTGACCTGACTCACAGCGAACCCTCCTTGGGTTTCCGAGGCAGTATCACTATGGAAGTAGACTGCCCAACCTTCCTTCCGAGGAGTGGCTGGTGGGTTTGAACTGCCAGCCTTCTGGTTAGCAGTCAAATGCAGTGTTTTAATCTTTAAATGTTAAGATAGTATTATTTTTAGAAAACCCACTGGGTTCAGATCCAGCAACAAATATGTGAAAGAGTCAGCTTGGTCCAGTTCTGCTGCACCTGCCATCTCCCATACTCACCCCATTGGCAATCCAGTTCTCCCGAGATTCAGTCCATTCAGGTTAAGAAATTTAGACTTTATTTTACTTCTCCCTTGGCCAGACTTTTTTTTTTTTTTTTTAATTCTATGGATGGATAACATTGTCAAAAGGGCAGGCCTGAGGACCAGGTTCTGATTATGAAGATAACAGACACTGTTTTGAACAGCTCTCTCTAGAAATGACTATGTGGGTGTGTCTCCAATTCTTACAACAAACCAAGAAGCAGTTATTATCTTCATTTTACAGATGGGAAAACTGGGGCTCTTTAAAAATAGAGGGTGAGCTCAAATAGAGCCCATCTGAACCAAATGCCTAGACCCTTCATAACAAGGCCCAGCTCAACTAAACCATCCTCTCTCTCCTATTATCCATTCAATAAAAGAGACAGATTCAGCATCAAGCTAAATCTGGCCAGATCACGTGAGTATGCTTTTACCTATTTCTTCGTTTTGGTTTGGCTTGCTTATGGTCCACGTGGTTCTTAAAAATTTTAGTTAGTTGCCAATGTTCAAAAAAAACACTCCTTGGAAGGATGGTTAGGCAATCTACTTCCGCAGTGATACTGCCTCGGAAACCCAAGGAGGGGTTGCTGTGAGTTGGTTCAGACTCAACAGCAGTGAGATGTTTTTTTTTTTTTGTTAACTTCACTGTTTCACATGAAAACTAGGATTTTACTGGAAAAAAAAAATCACAAAATGTGCCAATGCTAGGTCTGCACTTCCATGTGGCCATAGAGATCACTAGATGCTGAGTTGCCGAAGCCATTGAGCCCTTGGATGATAACGTGTTTCCCAGGTCACTACTATCCCCCCTTTCCACCCTACTGCTGACACACAGAGGCCAAGGGCTCAGTGCCATTTGTCACTGACACTCTACTATTTTTCACATTCAAGTCTCTCTCAATAACAGCCAAGAAAACACAAATGACAAGCCATGGGGCAGCAGCATCAAGCTGTGTGTGTTCTCAGTGAGTGTGTGCCCTGCAAGTGTGTGAAGCAACAAAGTAGGTCTGTGCCCAACCCAATCTAAGCTTCACTCATGTAAAGACTTGCCCAGCCCCTGGAGGCCATCACATTTGGGACCTTCGCACTGAGCACAACTAATCTAGGCCAACATGGAGGGACTCAATTTCTGACCACTTACCTAAGGCCCCTGGAGACCAAAGAATGGTGATAGCCACTTGGTTGTGGCAAGTGTACTGACTGATGGTGATGTTCTGGGCGTCGGCAATCACGTGCTTCCCCACCAGGTTCAAGTAAGTGGTACAGTCTAGAGAAGTGGGAGGATGAGAACAGTGACATTTAAAATATATGTTTTTTATTTCCAAGTTCATTTTCTCACATTACACAGTACTGTCTGGAAGTGGCCCAATCCATTCTGCTGAAAGAGGTGTGTTTCGAAAGCCCAAATATGACATCAGAAACTGACTGAAAATTATAAGCATGCTTCAGTGGGATTTATATCACGCACACCCCTACCCCCCACCTGAGGTTAAATTCCAGGACAGTTTTAAGAAGGTCAGATTCAGTTTGAAGTTTATGTGTGTATCTGGCATTAACGTTTTTTGCTAGTATGACATTTTGTCTGAATCAGTAATTATTTACATTGACTCACTAGTTTTCAGTATTAGAGAATTTTTTGAAACAATGGCTAATTAATCTAGGTTTTGCTTGTTTGCTTATTTATTTTTAGAACAAAACTAGAGGGTGAGGTGACTGCAGAAAAAGAAGGAACATGAGAATGTGAATTCACAGGGCAGTGATTCAAAGCAAGACTGTTAACCAATTAGTACCTTCAAGAGACAGTAACTTGGACATCTGCTAAAAACCTTGGGACAGTGATAAGTTACTTCAACATTAACTAGCATCATCAAAGATAAAACTTTTGCTGTAAATCCCATGTATCATCAAAGATACCCACAACACCCACTAAATCTAAGGAGCCCCACACATCTTAAAAAAAACAAAACCACCTGATTCTTTGATTTTGTCTGAGGTTGTTACTTACTGCCACCTGTCAATGTAGCCACAACCACAGGAGCAGCTGCGCCACCTGGTATTGTTGTACACACCTTCAAAGTACGCAGAGGCCTACAAAGCTGCCAGAAGATTCCAGCTGGAATTGGGCTGGGACTTCCCAGAACAGCCACTCATGCACAAAAAAACTATCAACCACAGCACCAACTTATCATAAGCTGCTTCATCTCTGCTTCTTTCTCAATGATTAAACTCAGATACTCTCTCTAGAATCTGCTGTGAAAGGTCTTCAGAGTTCCAGCAAATGCCCAAACCTGCCCACCAGCCCCTGGAAGGGGAGAAGCATTCGGGGACATTGTCTAGGAAGCTCATGAGTCTGCCTGCTGCATATAACTTCTGTCCTATAAAATGTCCTGTGTGCTTCTCATCTTTATGACTAAACACATTCTTTGGAGACATTTGAAAATCACAGGAGAATATAAAACAAATTTAAAAGTCATTCATAACTTCTCATCACACAGAAGTTAACTGCTATTAACATTCTAGTGGACATCCTTCCAAGGCTTTTAAAGTGTACACAATATCCCTTTTTAATTTTTTAAAAATTATTTATTTTTGTTGCTGTTTAGAATATACACAGCAAAGCATACACCAATCCAACAGTTTCTACATGTACAATTCAGAGACACTGACTGCATTCTTCCAGTTGTGCAACCACTCTCAACTCTCCTTTCCCAAGTTGTTCCTCCCTCCCTGGCACAAACTCACTGCCCCCCAACCCCCAAGGAGGTACAGAAAGGAACCCAGGTGGGGCAAATGGTTTGCATTTGTCTACTGACCTAAAGATTGGTGGTTCTAATCTTCTGAGTTGCAGTTGTCAAGTTGTTCCCACATAAGTAGATCTTAACAGAGCCTAATACTCAAGGCAAACATTCTTTACTAGTTAAGCTCAACTATTGTTTGGTTTTAAGGGGATACTTTCAGTTTAAGGTTTAAAGATGATCTTGGGGCAATAGTTTCAGGGGTTCACTTCCTTTTTAATTTTTTACTAAAGTATAACACCTACCGACTACCATAAAGACCCATCCCCTACTTTTAAACTGCATCCTCCATCCTGCCTACAGACCTGCATTCTCACCTAACTACTTGAGCACTTATTTTCTTCTGTCATTTCCCTCTGATCCTAAAAAGTCACATTTGCATTTCAATATTGCTTCTTTTGAAAAGATGTTAATAATTAATAAAATGGAATTCCGCTTCTGATAAAAATTCACTCTGAAAGCAATCAACATGTGTTCTCTGGGTGTAGAAGAGAATTTTAGGATAGGAAACAAATGAAGAAAAATTTTTTTTAGTCTAACTTTTTTTTTTTTTTTTTTTTTTTTTACAAATGAGGGAACTACAGATAAGAAAGGGCAGCTGGGTAGCTCAGAATGCCACTGCTGACCACCCAGTTCAGCAGCAGAAAGCAGGCTCCAGCAGCTCACCCAGGCCTCTCAGCACCCTGTCACCAGCAACCAAGACAAGTTCTTAATTTGAGGTGTGTAGAGTAGCAAAAAATCTTGGCTGAGACTAGCTTCCCAGTACACAAGAAAGGCAAGATCCTGACATACTTGTAAATTTCATTTATTGAGAATGGGGGCCTTGGTGGCACAGTGGTTAAAGCGCTTGGCTGCTAACCAAAAGGTTGGCAGTTTGAACCCACCAGCTGCTCTGCAGAAGATGCAGCAGTCTGCTTCCATAAAGGTTAGAGTCTTGGAAACCCTACAGGGCAGAGTTCTACACTTTCCTATACAGTCTTGATGAGTCAATATCAACTCGATGGCAGTGGGTGGGTTTGGGGTGGCTTTCATATTGAGAACTGTGTGTCACATGGGGTCACTATGAGTCAGAATCAGCTCAGCAGCACCTAATAACAATAACAACACAGGACTAAAAGGACAGAAAGGAGCTCAGGTGGTGCAAATGGTTTGCATTCATCTACTGACCTAAAGGTTGGCGGTTCAAGCCCACCCCACGACTCCATGAAAGGAAGGCCTGGTAAACTGGTTCTGTAAAATTACAGCCACAAAAATCCTACAGAACAGTTGTATTCTATAACACATGGGGTCGCCATGAGTCAGAACAGATTCGACTGCAATGGGTTATAACAAAAGAAAGGTCTTTGCTTTAACCAGCTTCAGAAAAAGATGCCCAAATGGGAGCAAATTATGATTTTTTGCTTTGTTCATTTCTCATGCCAAAATGAGCACTCTCTAGATTTCTGTAAAAACCATTATGCAAATACAGAGTTTAAGAATTAGACTGAAACCTACTCAGGCATACCCCCTCAGAGCCCACAGGAGAAACATGGCATGCAGAGTGAAAGGAGGCACGGAGGTCTGTGCAATTCATTTTCGACTTCACAGCAAGACATCACCTTTCTTGACAACATTAAATGTCAAAGGAATATAAAAATAAGATTTTGTAGTTTAATAATTCTGGTGAAAACTTGGTAATTGGTTCTTAGTTATTTTAAGCGGAACTAGTTACCAGTTGAGCAGGACCTTCCCTGTGGAGGAAAATATCTTTTTCGATAAAAAACAATGAATAAGTTTTTTACATAGCCTGGATCCAATTATTAGTTAAATCCCCAGTTCTGGATTCTGGTTACAAAAACGTTATACCCAAATGACACTTTGCCAAAATGCAACAGAGCTTCAGACATTTCAGGGGTCAAAGCGAGCTGTGAATTAAATTTTAATTAAATGCTAAAGAATTAAAAACACAGCAATGGCTAAGAGACAGGAATAGGCAAGTGGGCCAAATAATTAGTCCCATGAAGAAAATAATAAGATACTTTTCAGCTTGACAGGTACAGCTCCTCTTCCACAAAACCCCATATTAAAACAGAGATGCAACTGCTTGTTTGCAGCTGACCAGAAAACTTTGAACTCCTGAATGTAATATAAGACCTGCCAGGACCAAGAGCATATATTAGAAATGAACTTTTGACTCAAAGAAACATCCCTTCCACATGTCTTCACTTCAGTATCATAGACTTGCAGCTAATCTTTCCTTAGCATTCCAGTACTTACACAGGACATGCACCCACTACTAATGCAAAATATCTGAGGGACACATACAGTTTACTTAAGACAGAGAGGCCAGCAACTGTGCCCATTATTTTGACATATATATTTGTATCTAAAAATTGTAGACTGTATCCAGGAACCTCAAAAAAACCCTGCTTTGAGTAGATGTCCATTCCAGAGACCTCAGTGGGACCTATTCCTCTTACTGACTTTGATTCTACTCTCTATTCAAGGGATGAGTCAAATGTTAGGAGCTGCTAAACATGAGGCAAGCTCCCTCTTGTCAACATTTGTTCTTACAAATTAAACTTCATCTGGCTCAAGTGCTCACAGTTCTATATAACTCCCTTCTTAATGAAATGAAAGCAGCTGTTTAAGGGGGTTCTATATACTTAATCAGAAAAAAACTCACATCTTGCCCTATGTAAAGTAATCCAGCCAGAAAACACCACACTTTCTTTAGGGAAGGCAAAAAAGGTACTAGTGCTCTACCTTCCGTGGGAATGACTTCTAATATTAACTTAAATAAATAAATAACCAGTTGTCACTGAATCTATTCCAACTCATGGCGACCACATGTGTGCGCACGTCAGAGTAGAACTACGCTCCTTAGGGTTCTTGGTGGCTAGTTTTTCAGAATTGCCAGGCCCTTCTTCCAAGGCATCTCTAGCCTCCAAACTTTCAGTTAGCTGCTAAAGCACATTAACCATTTGCACCATCCAGAGATTCCTTCTAATATTAATAGACATTATTGAGTGAACACCACAGACTAGTTACTGAGTTGAACAGTTATAAAGCATTACTCCATTTAAAACTTAAACAACGCAAGGAGGGAGAGATGGATGTTTATTTTACATAATGAGAAAACTGAAGCTTGGAGAAATCAAGTCACTTGCTGCAGCACACATGGATGGTAGGTAATAAACTACAGCAAGAATCCAGGTCTAAGTCAGAAATGGCCAACTGGTAACCCCAGGCCAATATGGAACACAGATCTACTTGGGTTTGTGAAGATTTTGAAATAACTACCAGTATTTTTAAAACGTGCCCATGAAAAATGTGAATTTCTTGCTCTTAGAAATCACAATTTATCTGGTAGCATATGGTATGAATTACTTCAAGGCCACAAGAAGCCGCAGCAAGTAGCCAATATTTCCTTCAGATGAGGCATGAACTCACAATTTTCCACAGTCTCCACCATTCCCTAGTGTCCTGCACCTGGAAAGCTTCATTCATTTGTTCTCTGCTGAGCCCTACATAGCCCTACAGGCATCTATGTTTGTCATTAAGAATATGGCCATGTCTTGAGAAAGAGAACTTCTCTGAACTCTATTGAGGACACTTGACCTGTTCAAATTCACTAACACTTAAGTGGCTTAATTGAGACTGAGTTGCTTTAGCTCCATCGACAGACCTAAGCAGTTTCAGAAAATTCCTCAATCACAGACCCTGCAGTGTCTTTGATTAAGCACAGCTAGGTAAACTTTAGATATCTGAAAGGCCTCCATTCTTCAGCGGTCAAGCCAGTTACTTACTGTCATATCTGAAGGTGATGTTGTGCAGCCCACTGTTTCTGCTGGCCAGCCCCACTCCCTGTGGGAAAACAAGAGAACATGATGTAAAATTAAGCCAATTTGCTTTTCCAGCATGGATCCCTACAAAGTCCAACCACACGCATCATTGCTGAGATCCAGTGTCATGCCAGTCTCTAAGCAACGTCTATCCACTGCCCTTTCCATCTGCTCCATGGCCCCAGATGCCAAACTCCCTCCTCCTGGGGGATTCCTAACTCGCCAGCCATGGGGATCACAAGCACACACTTGCTCCAAGACAATAGGTGCAGGCTGTTTAGGGGTTAAATAATAATTCGCTAACAGTAAAACTGGGAGAGAGGCCAAGGGCTGCCAGTTGGAGCCCTTCCAGTTGGATCCACTTTAAGTACTGATTGGTTATAAAATTCGCCTACCAGACGCCCTCATCCGAACGCTCCATTAAGCCACAACAGATAGGCAATTTCTCAAGTGCAAGGAAACAGAGTTCTCATTCCAAGACTGAGAATGAGTGTGAGAATAAGCAGTTACTTTTAATGAGAAAATACTTCACTGTATCCCTACCTATGCTTGGAATACATTGGGTGGGTCATAAAAGAAAAAGAAAAAAAGACCTTAAAAGGTCTAACTCTGCCTCTTGGTGATGTGGCCACTCGCCATCTGTGCTCTTAATAGCAGGAATAACAACTCCGCCAGACTTCCCACTTTAATTACAGCATCCACAGAGGAAGCACTGGAATCCTCCCACCAACCCCGCCTTCCCCCAACCCCACTTACATTCATCATGGGAAAGAGCAGCTACAGATCTACCAACTCCCACTCTGATTTAACTGTTTCCGTAAAATCTGCAAATGTGCCGTTCAGCATTATTTGCAGAATTCTCCAAAATATGTTAATTCTGAAATGCTAAATGATGGGAAAATATTCTAACCACACAGCTGAAGTTTCCACTCAACAAGAAGGATGGTGGTGGGAGAACCATATGCCAGCAATTGTTCACTGAGACACAATGTGCAGAACACTTCTGATGGAGCCCAGGGTCTCAGGCTGCAGCCCATTGCATCCATATGCTGCTCATGCTGCTGATCCTGAGGCCAGGCACACCCACTGAAACTGGATCTCTGAGCTCAGATGCACAAGGCCCTCAGGAAAGCACAGCTGTGCAGAAAGGGAGAAGCACATACACACACACACACACACAGTGCTCCAACTAAAGTGAGGAATAAGCAGTAACACAAAACCTAAATCAATATGGTGTGCCAGCCCATGATCTACTGGGGCTCCTTTCGACTCGGTTCACTTTCCTTCTCTAGATTTCCTCTTCCATCCATTCTTCCTCCCACACACAGAATTCAGGAATTCCTCACCTGAACTGAAATACTTTGCCATTTTATTAAAATTCTAAGAGCTTCCATGACTCTAAAGGGATGAGGCCACAGTCTATGCAATCAGATGGCCAAGACCAAAGAACATAACCAGGTGGGAGGCCAGGAAGGAGATAATCTAATCCCCCCACAACCCTATGGCAATGCCCAGCACACCAAACCATACCCTTCTTGCCTGACAAGCCCCAGGATACTAGCTGGAGAAATCAATTCACTTACTATTATGGCATCTTTTATGAGTCAGATACTATGTTAGGTATGGTGGTGAACAAAATAGCCACTGCCCCTGCCCTTGTGGAATAAGGAGTACGGTACTCATTCTTTCTAAGAAGGAATAGGTTTGTGGCTCACACCCCAATGCATACAGACAAACCTCAAATCACACTCTGCTTCCCCAAGGACTCCTGTTTATAGAAAAAAACACATGTAGCTAGGGTGAAAGTGCCAGCCATAAATAAGTATATAATACCTGAGATGCCACAAGGCAGTACCTGAGTAAGGTTAAATGAAAGGCACAGATGACACTCACCAAGAGCTTAAAAGAGGGGATAACTGGGCTAGAATGGTGGGGGAAAAGTAGCATTATGGGAGGGGAACAAAACACATAATCTAGAGGCCAAGACCACCTTAATCCTTCTATCCAATTGTTCATAACCAAAGGCAAGCTACTTCATTCTATTGGACTTTAATTTTTATTGTGATTTGGGTGAAAGTTTACAAAGCAAATTCATTTTCCATACACTTCATACACATTTTGTTTCATGACACAGACTGCAATTCCCCACAATTTAACAGCTCTCTTCCTAATTAGAGGCCAGAGTCTCAGGGGTCTCACCAGGCTCTATCAGACCAGCAAAGGTGGTCTTTTTTTTTAGGATTTTGAGTTTTGTTCCACATTGTTCTCCCACTCTATCCAGGATCTCCTGCATTGATCCTCCTCTGAGTCACTGACAGCAGTAGTTGGGCACCATCTAGTTCTTCTGGTCTCATGGTTATTTAGGCTGAGGACTGCATGGTCTGTTAGTCCCTCGGACTAATTGTTTCCATGCATCTTTGTTTTTCGTCATGCTTCTTTGCTCTGGATGAAGAGAGATCCGTTGTTGCATCTAGATAGCCACTTAAAAGCTTTTAAGACCCCTACATCCTAACAAAGTAGGATGTAGAACAATGTTTTTATATAATATGTTATGCCATTTGAGCTTGGCATCCCCTGTGACCATGGTCCCAAGCCCACAGGTCTGAATACTCACTTCCTCTGGGTAAGTGGTGGTGGCTAAGAAGCCACCACAACCTTACCCCTTGTCAGCTCTGCTGTATACCTGGATATTCTTACAACACATACAAATAAGCAAGTAGAAACATCATCTGCCAACCCTATACATGGTCATGGGCACACTCCCCTCTGCCCAGACATATCTGATTGTTCAGCTTGTCTATCCATCTATACACCCACAGATCCATGTTTGTCCACTGGGCATTTTCAATAAGAGAAATTTGTAAACTCTGTGTGTGGGGGGCTGGGGAGATGGAGACTTGAGGAGGACCACTCAAAACCATGTAGAGAAAGCACTTGTCACAAATGAAACCCATTCCATTTAATAGCATGCTCTGAGATGCCTAGGCACTCTCATTACCAATGACCTTAGTTGTGGCATTTCTTTTTGCTCTTATTTCTCCTATATTTCTCTTGTAACATGTTTTTAACAGATATTAGGCACTTGTAATAGGCAATGCGTTGTGGAAAGGAGCTCAAGACAGTAAACTGTCAAACTCATTAAAAAGACCAGGCTCACTGGTCTGATGGAGACTGCTGAAACCTCCAGGCCTGGAAGTCAACTTACTCCCATGGCTTAACTTTCAGCCAAAGAACAGAAAGGCCTACAAAATGAAAAGCACATCAGGGAGATCAACCGCAGGAGATCAAAAGAGCAGTATTTGCACAGAGAGATAGCTCAGAGGGCAGGGATGCATAGGAAAGGATAAAGAGAAAAGGTAACCTCAGGGAGGAAGTGGGAATGGCAATCAATGTCACAAAACAAAATGTGGGTGAACTGTTGAATGGAAAGCAAACATGCTGTGTAAACTTTCACCCAAATCACAATAAAAAGTTAAAAAAAAAAAAAAAAGGTGAGATGTGCTCATGCTGTAGGAGCTCTATACTGTGCATGTGAGAATCTGTTTCTGTTAGCTACTGTCTAGTCGGCCCCTAACTGAAGGCAACCCGTGCACAGTGGAATTTAATACTGCTCAGTCCTGCATCATCTCCATGATAGGCTGTGGACTGGACCGCTATGATCCATAGGGTTCACTGGCTTATTTTCAAAAGTAGATTGCCAGGCCTGTCTTCCTTGTCTGTCTTAGTCTGGAAGCTCTGCTGAAACCTGTTCAGCATTACAACAAAGAACAAACGTCCAATAACAGATGAGTAATAGCTACACGTGAGGTGCACTGGCTGGGAATGTAAACTAAGTCTCTGCATATAAGAACCTAAATCTCTCCAAATAAGGTCTCTGTGAGGTGTGGAGCCATTCAGAGGGAGACCTGTGAGCTGGCCTCAGAGGACAGAGAAGTCTGCATGCAGCATCCTTTTACCAACCTTTGAGCACTCCAATTTGACACAAGACCCACAGGGCTGGGTGCCCAGCAATGAACCAAACACAGGCCTGACCTCAAGTTTTGACCACCAAGATGATCTCCTAACATGCAAATCTGCCCTCTTCTCCCTGCTCCAAATCTTTCACTAACTTCTTAACACCCCTAGACCATTCCTGTCATGGTCCCCACCTACCTTCCCAGCCACTCCCTCCCGCTTCCCAAACCCCTCCAGGTACTACAATGCAGGCATTCCCCAGGTTACAAACTATGTGTGTCTAATTTGTAGGTAAGTCGGAACAGGTACATAGGGTTCTTACTTAAAGTCAATTAGTCAAATGTCTGCCTAAGTATATGTTGTTGTTGTTGTTGTTAAGTGCCGTCGAGTCGTTTCCGACTCATAGCGACCCCATGCACAGCAGAACGAAACACTGCCTGATCCCGCACCAGCCCCACAATCCCTGCTATACTTGAGCTCATCATTGCAGCCACTGTATCAATCCATCTCGTTGAAGGCCTCCCCCTCTTTTGTCGACCCTCCACCCTACCAAGCATGACATCCTTCTCCAGGGAATGGTCCCTTCTTACAACATGACCAAAATAGGTGAGACGAAGTCTGGCCATTCTTGCTTCCAAGGAGCATTCTGGCTGCACTTCCTCCAGGACAGATCTGTTAGTTCTTTTAGCAGTCCATGGTACTTTCAGCATTCTTCACCAGCACCACAACTCAAAAGCATCAACTCTTCTTCGGTCTTCATCAACTCTTATTCATTGTCCAGCTCTCACATGCATATGAGGTGATTGGAAATATCATGGCTTGTGTCAGGCGCACCTTAGTTTATATACTTTAATCATGATCTTTTAATGCATTAATGTTGTAATGCTGAACAGGTTTCAGCAGAGCTTCCAGACTAAGACAGACAAGGAAGACAGGCCTGGCAATCTACTTCTGAAAATAAGCCAGTGAACCCTATGGATCATAGCGGTCCAGTCCACAGCCTATCATGGAGATGATGCAGGACTGGGCATGATTAAAGTATACACACTAAGATACTATAGAGTATAC